GGGGCTGAGCAGGGCGGGGCTGAGCAGGGCGGGGCTGAGCAGGGCGGCTGCGCCCCGGGCTCCTTGCGAGTGGGCAGGATGGGGGCCAGAGGAAAGGTCGGGATAGTCCTGGCAGTGAAATCTCCTGCGGTCTGACCCCAAGTCCCGCAAAGTCTAAATGCGTCAGTCTCGCCCACTTTGATCTCGGGGCCCCGCCGTCTAGGCCTGGGGCTGAGTGGTCTTTCCTGAGGCTGTGCACGGGTGGGCGCTCCCGTGGCCGCAGGAGCTCACTAAACCCCTCCCAGGAGGCCCTTTCTGGTAGGGGCAGACCTTAGCTTGGACTTCTCTGCTGACCTTAACCTATATGCTGCTGCCCACCTGGGGCCTCCCCTTCCAGGCCATGCGGGACAGCGAGAGGGGTGAGGCCAGATAACGTGCAAATTTGGAGGGTTTCTGCGCCAGTTCCTCTCCCCTACTTTCTCTCCACAGATCCCAAACAGCCCCTCATTCCGGTTCCCTGGAGAGTCGGATTGACAGGGGACCTCCAAGGCTGCTTAGTTGAGACCCCCTCAGAGGCAAGATTGAAGTTCTCCCAGCCCTGTTGAAGGCTCTGTGGCCTCTCCTCCAGCCCTAGATACTGCGGGGGGAGCCAAGGACTCTGACCATAGAAACATCCTTGACTCAACTTGCTCCCTACCCTGCTGTCTGGCCAGTCCCCAGGACCTAGAGAGCTGGAGGCCAGGGCAACTGGAGGAAGGCCCAAGGCCAAGACCCCATGTAGATCCTCCCCGACACCTCAACAGTGCCGGGTCCCTGCACATGAGCCTGTCCTGGTAGCTGGGAGCCTTCCAGAGCCTGGAAGGGACGTGCTCCAGATCCGGAGCACTCTTCCCCTCCATGAAGCTAGGCAGATTCCTGAAGGTGGGGTCCATGGCCATTTCTCAGCACCTTTGCTCATGCAGTCCCTTCTGCCTGGCAGTGCCTTCCTTCCATTCTCCCGGTGAAATATACTTCACCTGCAAGGCCCAGGTAAAGTGTCTTCCTCTTAGGGAAGACTTCCTCAGCCCCTCCCCAGAAGAATGCTCTTCTTTACACTAAGAACACTCAAGTCATCCCACAAGTATTGGTCCAGCACAATGCATTCCAGTGTATTAAAACTGAGCCCTGCTTCCCCTTCCTGGCATCTTAGCTGGCATTATGCCTGCTACAGTTCACATTGGCTGTGAACTCACTAATTCCTAGGGACCCCTGGAGCACTGGGACTGGCGGCACTGGGGCCCTGCCACCTGATCAAAATGCTGCTGTGTCTAACGCCTCTGCTTCTCCATGCAGCTGCGAGGAGCTGTGCCCTCCTGGGAGCCACGGAGCTCACTGTGAGCTGCGCTGTCCCTGCCAGAATGGGGGCACCTGCCACCACATCACTGGCGAGTGTGCCTGCCCCCCAGGCTGGATGGTAGGTGGGCCCGCAGGATCTGGGTGGGACACTGTAAGAGGTCTAAGCATCCCTCACTCACACACACCTTGAAAGGCTGAATTCCTCTCCCATCCTGAATTCTCTCCCTCCTGTTTATGGCAAAGGGGCATCATTAGACACTGCCAGTGGTGCCACGGACACAGCTTTGAATCCCAGGTTTGCCATCTCTAAGTGCTGTGTGGTCTGAGGCAAGTTGGTTAACCTCTCTGAGCCTGTGGTCCCTCGTGTGCAAAGGAGTTGAACTCTTCTCCTAAGATTGGCCCTGTCTTTGGGCATAGGTACCCACATTATTGCCATGGGCTCTGGGCCAGAGGTGGCAGAAAGGGCTGAAGAGAGAGAAGAGACAGTAGGTATGGATTACCTGACTTTATATCATCTCACCCCTTGCACTCACACGCACATTCTGATTCTGTGGGCCCCAGAATCTGTATTTTAACAAGTGCACCAGGTGATTCTAATGCAGCCTCAGCCAGTCCAGGTCTCATGTCTGGGGACAACCATTGTGGGAAGGGAAAATAGGATTTATAGCCTCACCGGCCTAAAATCAGGTCTCAGCTCCAGTGTTGACCCTGAAAAAAGCCTCAATTACTCTGCTTCCCATCTGCAAAGCTGACATGACAGCGAGCCCTGCGCGGCTGCGGTGGCCGCCGGCTGGCTCAGGCGTTGCAATCTCTGAAGCGCTCTACGATTGCTTGTTTTACCTCTCTGGGCTCCACAAGGCTCCTTCCAGCTCCACCAGGCTCTGCCTGTCCTGCCTCCCCTGCAGGGCCAAGCCCCTGAGAAACGGCCAGTCGGCTGAGGCTGACTTTCCCGGGCTGCATCTCTGTCTCCGACTCTCCCCGTTTAGGGGAAGCTCAGTGACATGGCTGGCTGCCTCTCCTGGGATCTGAGCCTTTGCAGAGCCAGAGGGACAGGGATGCTGAGCAGAAGCGGGATATTTCTGGAAGCTGTGAACGTGGAGGTCACAGGGACAGACAGGAGGGGCCCATCAATGCAGACACGGGCTCGTCAAAGTTTTTTAGGGCAGGAAAGGACTTCGGGCATCATTTGGTCCAGCATCGTCCAAATCTGGCTGCACACCAGAGTGGAAGGGGGAGGGGGCGGTTAAATACAGATTCCCACACTCTACCTGAGACCTTCTGGGACCTGAGAGTCTCTATTTTTAATACGCTCCCCAGGTGGTTCTGAAACAACCAGTGCTGTCTGCAGGTTTGCCTGTGGAAATCATTGATCGAGACCATAGGATTTCCCTCTGTGTTTTGCAGAACCCTAGGGCATCTTGAGGGAAGGTGGGGGGGGGAGCCTAATAATTAGGCATCTGGTTCTAGGTAAGATTTCACATACAAACAGGGTCTCCCAGCTTTAGGAGGTTTGAACACCACTGGTCTGCCAATACCTTCCTTTCTCGGATGAAGAATCCGAGGCTCAGAGAGGGTAAGTGACCTGCCCAAGGCCACACTGCTGGTCAGGAGTGAGGTGGAGCAAAAATTCAGGTCTCCTGACTCCTGCATCCCAGCCCTTGGTGTCTGTCTGTCTGTCTGTCCCTTCTGAAGAGGAAAAAAAAGGCTGCCACCACCTCTCCCATACCTTCCCACTTCTCCCACTCCGAACCAATCTCTGGAAAGTTCCTCTCATCTCCAGCCAGCTTCCAGAAATCCATCACCCAGTGGGCTGGGTCCTCAGAGGCCCAGCAGCGGGCAAAGAGGTTGGATCAGGACGGGTGGGGAGAGCAAGGCGGCAGGCAGAGCCATCCCTGCAAAGGTCTTTCTGGAGAGACTCTGGAGGCTGGTGGCCGAGGGTGGGGAGCGGGGAAGCCAACACATGGAGGGATTGTTTTCCTCCCCAGAGCAGTGAGAGATTTCTTCTTCCAGATGACAGAAAACTCTGTCTATAGAAGCCTTTGGATTTGAGGACTTTATGTTTTTAATTTTATTGTAGACAATTGCATTTCTATTTTTGACATAGCATTTAACTTGCAGATTTGTATGAATTATTAATATGCCTTGTGCATGCGAAGTCACAGTCTAATGAAGCTGCAGCTCAGGCCTGAGGCTCCTCCCAGGGAGAGCAGGGGTCAGGGAGAGGATCCTGGGGGGCAGGTCCACCCCCACCCCCAGCATTTCCATGGCCTGACTTTCCCTTTGGCCCCATGTGGCTTCAACCATGCACTTTCCAACTGAGAAAGATAAAGATGCTAACTCCCACCGCGCACCTCCCCAGAGGACTAGGCAGGAGCTGGCAGGGACTCTGCCCTCCAGGGCCCTCCTCAGGGATTCCCGGCCCGCGGGCCTGAGAGTGCCCACTGGCCACTGTGCCTGCCCAGCTCCCATGAGCCTGTTTCAGGAGGGCCTTTGCAGAGAGCCGGGGAAGGAGTTATTTCCCCTCTTTTTCTGGGCTCTGAGACCTTGCAAAGCAGAGAAACCAGGTGTGAGTAGCGTGATGAGTGTGGGCGGTAGACACAGATGGAGAGGCAAGAGGAGGACATCACTGACCTCCCTTAGGAGCTCACAGTCTGACAGTGGAGGCTGGATATAGTGTGTGCACATGTGCGCGCGCACACACACACACACACACACACACACACAAACACACAGACGCACATGCACAGGAAACAACAGGCCAGGAGGGGAAGGGGGCCGAGGAGCTGGGAGACAGGACCAGTAGTCACGGAGGCCCGGAGAGAGGTTTTGGAGCTGAGGCCATATCATTGCAGATGCTCAGGTTTTGACTCATGGGGCCCCACTCCCCGGTGACCCGGATCACCTCCACAGCACCCACGCTAACCTCAGTGCCCCGTCCACTGAGGGCGCCCCTGCCACCTGGCAAAGCGCCTTCTGGTGCCTGGAGAGGCTGAGTTGTCTCCTCAGAAGAACTGGCGTGGCCTTAAGTCCTTTCGCCATCTCGGCCCCTTCTTTTTTTATGTGCCACTTAGCCGTGTCCTCTTAGAGTGCGGCTGGTTTCCAGGTTTTGACAAAGCCATTTGGTCTAACCAGTTCCAAGAGGAGCAGGACTGTCACCTCTCCCCACGTCCAACTTGCTAGATGCCACGACAGCCCAAGATCCCACTGCACTTGGAGACACATGCTCAGGTGACCACAGGGGCCAGGTGCGTTAGTCTGCTAGGGGTGCCGTGACTAAGTACACAGATGGGGTGGCTTAAACAACAGAAATCGTTTTCTCGCAGTTCTAGAGGCTGGAACTCCAAGATCAAGGTGTCAGCAGGGTTGGTGTCTTCTGCTGCTCTGTCCTTGGCTAGTAGTTAGCCGCCTTCTCTCTATGTCCTCACGTGGTCTTCCCTCTGTGTGTCTGTCTTCATCTCCCCTCTCGTGAGGACATGAGTCATACTGGATAGGGACACCCATATGGCCTCACGTTAACTTAATTACCTGTGTAAAGGCTCTATCTCCAAATACAATCACATTCTGAGGTGCTGGGGGTTAAAACTTTAACATATGAATTTTGACGGGACACGATTCAGCTCATGAGACCAGGAGAGAAACTCTGAGACCACAGCCCTGTCTTCAGCTGGCCCCTTCCTGCCTGCTCTCCCCCTACTCCCAAAAGGCTGGAGCGGGTGAGTCGTATGGCCCTTCCACTCCTCTCCGTCCCAGGTTACACTGGGCTCCTGGCACATGTCATCTCATCAGGGTCAGCTGGGTTCAGTTACCCACTCTAAGGCCCTGTACTTGGTTCCTTCACAGCTCTGATCGCACTTGATCTTTATAACCCACCTGGGAGACCTTTACCCCACCCATTTTACAGATGAGAGAACTGAGGCTCAGAATTGTCATGCCTTACCCTAGCCCAGCTACCTGGGAGGAGACAGAGCTGGGATGAGGGCCCAAGTCCTGACTTTTGAGTCAGCCTTTGTTCCACCTCCCCAGGCAGCAGGTCCCAGGAGCTCAAGACAGAGAAGAGGCCTAGAGATTCAGGGGTCTCGGGTACCTGCGGGTTGGGAGTCCTGAGCAGGGGCTGAAAGAGGCGCTTGCCCACTTGACCAGAATGCCTCTGGGGTGCTTGATTTCCCCGGGGATGTGGGAAGGAAGCAGTCTCTGCAGCAGACTTTCCCACTGGCCTCCTCAGGGGGCCCAAGTCATGTCTCAGAAGCACTAAAAAGAACTGGACCCTGCAGCCCGTCGGGGTGTGTGTGTGTGTGTGTGTGTGTGTGTGTGTGTGTGTGTGTGCGCGCGTGTGAGTGAATGCAGGAGGGCCTCATACTGCTTTGGGCTGGGGGAGTGGGAGGCGTCAGCGTAGCCCCCCACGTTGGCTCAAAATGTTTTCCAGGGTTAGAGTGTCCTCATCCAGCCTAGGACTGTAGAGGACGGAGTCACACAGAAGCCAGAAAGACCCTTCCTCTCCCTCGTGGATCCCCAGAGATTTGGGGGTGCAGTGAGAAAGACAGGTACCTGCCTTGCCCGGGGGTGTCCCCCACCACCTCCAGGAGGAGGAGGGACCCCTGCCCTGAGAGGCTCGTCTCTGCCGCTCTTCTCACACGGGCTCATCTCACTGTCCTCGCCGCATCTGGCCCCTGTCAGCCCCTCCGTCTGCCTTACGTGTGGAGGAGAAAGCTGAGCTGAAGGGCCTCCCGTTAGGCTCATTACCAGTAAATTGGAGGATCTTGAAAGATGACTCTGGTCTGGCAGAATTTTCCTGAATAAACTAGCTTCCTTGGGGTTGGTGATTATTGGTCCTTTAAATAATTATGTGTTGAACTAATTGATTAATTAATTGGGGGATCATGCTTGATCTCCATAAGAGAAATGAGTATCTGGTGTATGAAAGGCTGAGAAGGCGGCAGGAGGCAAGAGCACGCTCAGATTTCTGTTCGATAAAGACCTCAGATTCAGATGTATAATTTAAAATTATATAATACCACAAGGCCAATACTGGGGTGGGGGGAGTCTCCTGTTCCATGTACCAATTCTGCTCCCTAAAGACAACCACTTTTGAATCTTTTAGGTGTTTCTTCTGGCATTTCCCTCCACTTTTCTACATAACATGCTTTACTGCCATTTCTTGACTTTTCCATTTTAGACATTTGTTGAATCTCTTGACTTCCTGCCATAGAATAAGGATTCAGCTCTACATACACACACATGCAAACTCAAGCAACCCTTCTCCTACCATTCCAATGGAATTATATTACATTTTTTGGTTAAATCACTTTAAAAAATATATTTTTTTGGAGATGGGGGTCTCGCTATGTTGCCCAGGCTGGAGTGCAGTGGCTGTTCACAGGCACAATCATGGCACACTGCAGCCTGAAACTCCTGGGCTCAAGTCATCTTCTCACCTCAGCTGCTTGAGTAGCTGGTACTACAGGAGCACACGACCACACCCAACTTGGTTAAATCATTTTTTAATGTTTGTGTGTGTTGATGTGCCCACATATACGTTGTTACTAATTTAACCCTAAAACTCTCTGACAGAACTCTAAAACTCCTCTCAATAGGGTCAGACCCATATGAAAGTTTTTTGCCTTTGTTTTGTTTTTGAGGCAACATTCTCAGCAGCCTACATGCTTCTGTTCCAGTGTGCTGCATAACTGTCATCTGGAACTTCCTTCTCTCTTCTGTTGGACTCCCTAGATCCTGGAACCCATGCCTTTCATTTTCTTGGATAATTCTTTTTGATGGGAAAAATCCTCCAGTATGTTCCTGAGAAAGTGTTCATGGAAGGTTATTTTTTCAAGGCTGTTCAAATTTGAAAATGTCTGTATTGAATCCCCTGCTTGAGTGTTAGTTTAGTTGGGTATAAGATTCTAGCCTAGACGTGCTTTTTTCCTGTGGATTTTTAGTCATTGCTCCATTGCTTCTAGCTGAGAGGTCTAATACCTTTTGGTTCCCAATTTTTGCATGTAACTGTTTTCCTCTTTCTAAAAACTTTGTGGATCATAAGTAAGAGATATAAACATTTACAGTGGTACGCCTTGCTGTGGGTCTTGTTTCATTTTCTTTTGCTGGATACTCTGTAGGCCCTTTCAGTTCAGAAATCCATGTTTTCATCCTTTCATTCTGGGAAATTTTTTGAATTATATTTTCCATTTAACTAACTTACCTCCATTTTCTCTGTTCTACTATCTGGAACTCCTGTTAATTGGATGTCAGACCACCTAATTGGTCCTCTAATTTTATTATATTTTCTCTACTATTTTCAATCTCTCCCTCTACCTCTCTCATTCTCTCTCTCTCTCTTTTGGTGTACTTTATAGGAGATTTCTTCAACTTTATCGTACAGCTCTTCTATCACAACATTTTAATTTCTGACAGCTTATTTTTAATTTCCAACACCTCTTTACTGTTCCCTGGATGTCCCCTTTTGCAGCACTCTGTTCTTTCGTGGATGCACTATCTTCTTATAACTGCCTGAGCATGTTCAGTGTAATTATGACAGAGGTTTTTCCCTTCTCTTTTTGTAAGTTTTCTTGGCTGCAGGCGTGGTTCCTGTTTCCTGTGTGTGCCTTTGGTCTGTTTGTTTATTTCAGTCTTCATTTTTCACGTGAGAGCCTATTTCAAATATCTGCTGATCCTTGGCCATCTGTTCTTGTTTTATGTGAGCCTCAGAAAAGCTAACTGGACGCCCAGGAGTAGAGGGAGATGCCAGGCTTGTTGACTGATGGGACCCCTCAAATATCAGTATCTGTGGGTCATTTCTCTGGAGTTCGTCAGTGTCCCCACAAAGGAATCCCATCCAGCCTCCTCCACAGAGAGTGGAGTCTGGCAGTTGGCATTCTGGGGGCTAAGCAGGGAAGAGAGCAGAGGGAGAGTCCCACCCCACCCTCAGCTGTACCTGTGTCCCTGTGCTCAATGCCCATCTGGTCAACCTCTGCAAAAATCTTGGCAGTCACCTGGCTATTTGAAGCGGAGACAGAGATTGGGAATCTTATTCCTTCGTTTATAAACTTTTAAATAGTCCTGTTTTCACCACACCTGCACCTTGACCTTCAGAGGGTCCTACTGCCTCTAATTCCCCTTTTCTGAGGTTGCAAAAGACCCCATCACCTAGCCTCGTGACGGCTTCCCACGCTCCCTTAGCAGGCACTTTGCGTTGCTGAGGAGGCAGAAACCAAAGCAGCCATCACTCCTCCATCTGCTTTTCCATCTTCCACTGTGCGACATCTCTTGTCCTCTGTTCCTTTTGTCCTTGTAGGTTTATACCTTTTCTCCCTTTCCTCTCACGTTAGCTGGGTTGGGAAGGCAGTTACGTGTGCGTCGCCACACCAGCGAGTGTAATCTAATCAGGATCTCATCTCCTTCCTTGTCTCCTCCTGTCGTCCACCTGTGTGACAGTACTCAGTGCCTTGTGCTTTACTCACCTGCTGTCTGGGCTCTCTCCACGGTAGACTGGGAGGACAGGAATCGAGTCTTACTCTATTTTTGGTACCCCTGATATCTAACACAGCACCTGGTATACAATAGACAGTTACTAAATGTGTGCTGAATAATTGGATAAGCTAATTGGCCTCAGTCTCCCCGTGTCTAAGAGGAGGGCTTTGGAGTCGTGGTGTCCATGGGGAAAGTGGGTGGTCCCTGGGGCCATAGCAGCTGTGCCATACCTAGGAGAATGTGACCGTGGGTTGGCATCTCTGAAGCACCACCGTGCATGTCTTCCCATTCCTGTTTCAGGGAGCAGTGTGTGCCCAGCCTTGCCCACCAGGGACGTTTGGCCAGAACTGCAGCCAGGACTGTCCTTGCCACCATGGAGGGCAGTGTGATCACGTGACTGGCCAGTGCCACTGTACAGCTGGATACATGGGGGACAGGTAAGGATGGTGTGAACTCATGTCCTTGCTGTTCATGTTGCTCATGTTCACAGCAGACTTGCAGAGAAGAACCCACAGCGATCTCATTGCTGGCCTTCCAGTTCCTTCCTCAGAAAGCATCTGAGTCCTCCTGCCAGGGAGAGCCATCAACTCGTCCTTCCCGGCCCTGGCCTGCAGAGCACACCCCGTCCCCCAGCCCAGTTGCTCCAGCCTTGAATTTGCATAGGCTTAACTGGGGGAAGGAGGGGAGCACCTGCCACCCTCTCCCCACTCTCCGCACCACTGCAGGGAGGTGATGGCCGAGATCCAAAGAAGCCGAGAGTGCAAAGTCAGTTGACACATTTTGTACAATTTCTTCTAGAAGTGGATTTTTGTTCCTAATTTGAGTTCCACCAAAAGGATACTGACATCAATCTGCATCCTCTGAAGGATGTGGCCCAAGAGCAGACTGAACGAGGACACCGATGTCCAGGAATGAAACCAACCTTGCGGAGTAGATAATCCACAAAACGCGTAACTGCGGAATTACCGTCCGTGCATGTTTGCCACCGCCGGGAGCAGGATGCCGTGATGGCAGGGCAGGCACGGTGGCAGAGGGAGAGACAGCCACCAGCGTGTGCGGTGGCGAGTGGGACCCAGGCCAGACCCCCTCCGTCTCACTCTTGACCGCAGGGGTCTCTGAGCAGAGTGGAGCAGTAAAGAGGAGGCTCTCTCTCTTCTGTGTGGCTTATAGAGATAGAAAAGAGAAAAATAAAAAAAGAAAGAAAGAGGAGGCTGTCACAACCCTTGCCTGGTTCCGTGGGGATCCATGTTTCATTTCTGGCCCCTGGATTTTTTACTCTTCCCAGACAAAATGAGGTGAGAAGAACATTTGTTCGTCATTCCCTGCCTGGGTGACACCGGGAAACAGGGGTGGAGGCTGAGTCAACTGATGAGACCTTGTGGCTCTGACCAACATAATCGGGGCTCCTCCAGCTCTTGCTGGAATCAGCCCTACATCCTTAGCGACGTCCGGAAAAGAGATTGTCCGTTGGCCTTGGGCTTGTTTGCCTCCAGCCTGAAGGCTTTTAAGCCAGACCTGATCTCTTAGCCAGCATTCATCTGCGTGAGCTTCCCCGCCATAGAGCGTGGGGTGTGGCATCTGGGGACCCATCCCTCCCTGACTCCAGAGGAAGGACTGACGCATGGAGCCCACCTTCCCATGCTCACCGTCACCCCCAAGAAGGAAACGCTCAGGATGAGCCATCGGGGACAGGGACCAGGAAGACCCCCGAACCGGAGCAGGACTCCTTTGTTTCGGTGCACTGTCTCGTGACAGTGCACACGGCCCATCGGTTGTTGCGGACCAGCAGGCCCAGGGCTCCGGCCGGCTGGACTCGGCACCAGCAGCCCCTACCCCATTGGTGCCCTCAGTGCTCACTGGGAGGAATGATCCCAAATCTCTCTTCTTGCTGGAGCCTGGCCCATGATCCAGGGCAGAGAAGAACCCCCAAAGCCAAAGGGCCCTCCGGCAAGCATTGCCAACCAACCACAGGAAAGTTCAGGAGGAGGCTGGGTAGCATTTGGGTTTCTCACCTAAACGGGCTGCCTGGTGTTTAATATTTTGTAAAATTGCCTCCATTAATTTTGTAGGCGACAGCCGCATTAACTCACCCCAAATCATCACGAGCATATTAAAGTTGAGTGGGTGTAATAATGCAGGCCTCCCCGGATAGGCAGAGTCCTGTGCAAATTAAACACGAAACGTAACGAGGGCTTTGCAGCTCATTTTGTAATTTAATTGAGCAATGTATCTGGTTGTTAATGGTAATATCGGACACATTAGATTGATATGTTGCAAAGGAAGGATGTTTAAGTAGAAAACTAATTCCTGCTGTGATTACCCTTCTGTTCCATGGGCCCCGTTATTAGCATGCTTTGTGTAAAATTCATTAGCAGTCGATGCTTGAGCTCTAAATAAATAAGTTGTTTAAATTGTGAGCAGGGAAAAAAAAAGAGGCTGATTATGTAAATGGATTAGGTTGTCAATATTTCATTTCCAGATTCTTTTTCTGGGGCTGTGGGTCCAGTCACCCCAAAACTATAGCAGGGTAGGGAGGTGCCCTTCAGGGGAGCTTAGGGGTCGGGGCTCTGCCAGGAATGTTCGTGTGAAAGGGAGGGGGCGTCAGAAGATGTCCCCTGGTTTGTTTTCTCTCCTGACATTTGAGACATTCAAGGCAAGCAAAGCCCAGTGACTTCTGGAGAAATTCATTCACGGACTGAACAGGGGCTGGCAGTTCAGATAGTGATGGTCCATCTTGAATGGCTCTTTATCCTCCCCTCCTGCCTCCGTTTCCTTCTTCCCTCTCCTATCCTACTTCTCTTCCTCCTCTGTCTTCTACCTTCCATTCCTTCTCCAGACATCCCCTTCTTTCCTTCCTCTTTCCCCCTCTGTTTCTGTTCTCTGTCCCTTCGTGAGGACGCAGATTGGCTAACATGCAGCAAGATCTGCAGGAAGACATCGGGGGTCGTCTTAGCCACTTGCAGGCTGTGTGTGCTTGGAACTGTCACCGCACTGTCTCATCTCAGCCTCCTCAACTCCAAAGTGAGGGTGATGACAGTCTCTGCTGCTGCAGGGCTAGGGACGGGCTGTGGGGCCTGAGCAGCAGGAAGCCCCTCTCTCTATGGGGCCCAGGGCTACCGCCATCCTCACTCCTGCCCCCCCATTCTCCCAGATCACTCCCTCGCCACAGTGGCTCTCAGAGGGGAGAGCTGGTGGCATCTCCCCATGAAGGAAACGCTCAAGGCCAGTCCCCAGCTACTGTCCTCTTCTCTCTGTCATTGTGGGCACAGAGCAACAAAAACAAGAGAGGCAGGGATGCCCCAATCTCGAGTTGCCGTGGCTAGTGCCTCGACACACAGGCTGCTTCCGTCCCCCACGCGCTGGCCGGCCCCGCCGCATGCACTGCGGTCACCTCAGGACAGACAGATGGGCTCACCCAGACGTGGCACTCCCTGCCCTGTCTGCAGAGAGCACTTGGTTCCATCCCATGACCCTCCAAGATGTACGATAAAGAAGCTAGGGCTGTATTGTGTTTCTTTAAAAAACAGCTTTTGTTACTCCCCCCAGCCCGTTACTGTAGCAGACATATAGAAAACCTGGGAAATGGAAAAATATGATAATTAAAACGCTTGTAATTCCTCAAGTCCACTCAACATTTCAGAGTTCTTCCCTTTGAGCTTTTTCATGCCAGAATGTAAGGTCAGAGGTCAGACCTTCTGCCATAAGAACTATAGAAACCCCTATTGACACGAGGAATAGTAATAATAACTAACGTTTCTTACTGAGCCCCAACCATGGGCTGGGTGCCTTTCCGAACATTTACACGCATTATCTCATTTAATCCTCCAACAACTGATGAGGTTTGGTTATGATCATCCCGTTTTGTGAAGAGGAAGAGGATGCCAGTGCTTTAGGTGCGTTCCCGTCCTCTGCGCCATCGAAGCCGTGCTGGGATGCGGATAACCCAGAGGCCATGTGTCTTTGGGGTGCAGGAGTCATCCCCCTCTTTTACTCAGTGCCCCCAGGTTTACCCTTAACTTGCCAGGATCCAGTTACTGGGACAATGATTTGCATCCCCAGGAAACAGCCCAGGGCTGGGGTAAGGATGTTGGGGCGCGTTCAGGAAGCCGGGCAATCAGCTGTGGGGGTCGCGGAGGATCCACACGGGTGGTTGTGATTCAAATGAGGTCAAATAATTATCCTCATGTGGGGAGCTCCCAGCACCAGCCCAAGCACGTGCAGGACACAAAGGGGGCGCAGTCCTCCTCCCTGGGGGCTCACAGGCTGATGGGAGCCTCAGCCCCTGCCTCGAAGGGATCCCCAATCCAAGGAAGGGGAAATAGCCCCTGTCATGGGGGAATCCCCAGGCCGATGAAAGAGGATGCCTCTTCTACTCGAGGGCAATGCCACACCAGGGGAGAAGACACAGCTCCCAGGAGCACGAGCGAGACTGTGCATCTGCCCAAGAGACTGAAAAAACAGACAATGTATAGAAATGAAATTACCCCATTTCATCAAATCTGAGGTGCCACTGATTGTAAGATGCATCATTATTTTACATTTTAAGAATGAAAAACACCAGTAATTAAACTATGATATGCCATCAGTTATAAGTCTTATCTAATTTCAGAGATATTAAAATATATTTTTAAAACAGGTTTATTGTTTCCTGGGTACACAGTTTCAGTTTGGGAAGATGAAAAAGTTTTGGAGATAGTGGTGATAGTTGCACAACAATATAAATGTACTTAACGCCGCTGAACTGTACACTTCGTGGTTAAAATGGTAAATTTTATGTTATATATTGTCTTACTTTGCTCATGCTGCTGTAGCTAAATACCTGAGACTGGGTCATTTATAAGCAACAGAAATTTATCCTTACAGTTCTAGAGGCCGGGAAGTCCAAGATCAAGGAGCCGGCAGGCTCAGTGTCTAGTGAGGGCCTGGTCTCTGCTTCCAAATTAGTGCCTTGAATGCTGCGTCCTCACGTGGTGGCAGGGACAGAAGGGCACAAAAGAGGACCTGGCCAGCTCCCTCCAGCCCTTCTGTAAGAGCACGAACCCTTCATGCAGAGCCCGCACGACCTAATCACCCCCCGCACCACCCTTCTTAATACTATCGCATTGGCCATTAAGCTTCGGCATGAGTTTTGGAGGGGACGCTGACATTCAAACATATATTTTACCGCAATTTTTATAAGTGAAAAGAAAACATAAGGCTTGGAGTCAATGAAATATGAAAGTACACACTCATTGCTGGGGGCACTGACTGGGTGAACTAAACCCGGGAATCCCCCCTGGAGGAGGAGAGAAGGAGGAGGAGACATGGGGGGCGGGGCACAGCAGGCCCAGGCCTGGTGCAGGAAGGGCTGGGCTGGCGGACCCTGAGCGCCAGTGAGGGGTCCCAGCCCACAGCCTCGCTCTGCTCTGCTGTCCACAGGTGCCAGGAGGAGTGCCCCTTCGGGACCTTCGGCTTCCAGTGCTCCCAGCGCTGTGACTGCCACAACGGGGGCCAGTGCTCGCCCACCACGGGCGCCTGCGAGTGTGAGCCTGGCTACAAGGGCCCACGCTGCCAAGAGCGGCTGTGCCCCGAGGGCCTGCACGGCCCGGGCTGCACCCTGCCCTGCCCCTGTGATGCCGACAACACCATCAGGTATGAGCTGGAGACAGGTGGGCCCAGGGACAGGGACAGTGTGGGCTCTGGTGAAGACCCCTCCTCAGGCCATGGCCCCCACCTCTGGTGTGGCCATCCAGGCAGGGTGGGGAAAGAGCTGGGACCTCAGCAATCAGCTCTGATAACCACTTTGACGAACAGGGGGGATGCTGAGGCCACACAGCCAGAGTCAGGACCAGAACCCAGGTCACTTGCCTCTGTCCACTGCACCCAGCTGCCCACATTTCAGAATGGGCCAATCTGAGACCCCACACACAGGAGCGAGGAGGGAGCTTGCTCAAGGGATCAGAGTGGGGGTGGGGCGGGGCTGCGTGGTCCTGGGGGCTGGGATGGCAGGGCTCAGGGTGCCACAAGCTCTGGGTACATGGTCCTGGAGAACATTTCCCCTCCACATACACAGCATCTAACTAGAGACAGGGCCACTAGGGCAAGAGCAGGGTGAGCCACAGAACGGCCATACTGAAAGGGACCTTGAAAATTAATATGGCCCAGCTGCGCGTGGTGACGCGTACCTATAGTCCCAGCAACTCAGGAGGCTGAGACAGGAGGATCGCTTGAGCCCAGGCGTTCGAGGCTGCAGTGAGCTATGATCATGCCACTGTACTCCAGCCTGGGCAACAGAGTGAGACCCTTTCTCTAAATTAAAAAAAAAAAAAAAAAAAAACACTCGCCCACACTCCGGCCCCGGGGCCCAGAGAGAGTCGCCCAGAACACCCCCACAAAAGGAGAGAAGAACAAGAGACACAGAACACACCCCCACCACAGCCCCGGCGCGTGGCGAGACCCTCCCCCCACACTCTGTCCTGTGTGGCCTGGGGACACATGGCAGAAACTGGTCCCACCCCTGCTTCCAAAGCAGTCTGAACCTGTGAAGCCAGAGCTGTCCCAGGCTGCCGCTCCCAGCTCCCTTCCCTTCCTGCTGCACACAGCAGTCCGCACTGCCCTCTGGTGAGACACGAGGCTGTCGGCCCCAGATAAACGCCTCCCCGGCCCTGCACCCAGGCTGCCTCTGACCCGGGTGGTGAGGGGCAGGCAGAGCATCCCTTCTCCCCGGGCCTGCTCACCGCTGGGGGAGCGCTGGCCTCTCTGGCCGTGATGCTGCTGCTATGTGCAGGGCAGACGAGGGACACCCCTGCTTCACCAGCTGTCTGAGCACGTAGCCTCAGGCCCCCTTCACTTCCAGCATTTGATTTTTCACGGGTCTGTCTGGAGCCTCTGGCCATTGCGAGCAGAGACGTCTCAGCAAGCGTCAGGAGTTAGTCCAAAACGGTCCTCAGTCCCTGGAGCTGAGTGGCAGGGTGGTGCCAGGCAAAGGCAGAGGGGTCAGGAAGGACACTGTCCAGAGAGGGTCCTGGAGCCAACCAAGCTGGCCTGTGTATGACCTAGGCATGCGTTCGTTCCCTCATTCATTCAACAAACACTGAGTACCTGCGGAACTGTGCTATGAGGAGGAAACACACTGAGCACCTTGTACCATATTTCTTTAAAGACAAGACAACACGAGTAGTGAGGCACAGCTTTATATCATGTACTTCTAAAAAAGGAAAAGTCTATCAACGGAACCATGACGTACCATTTGTATAACACACCCGGTAGCAGAGATGTGAAAACGTGGAGAAGTGCATATTAGAATTGATGAAATACATGTGGCTGGCCCTGCTGGGTCCCAACACGTACCCAAGTAACTATGACCTAGGACCGTGTGCAGAAAACACCACAAGAGACTGCTACATTGATCAGGGAAGGCTCCCTAGAGGAGGCAGCATCTGGGCTGAGTCAGGAGGCAGAGCGAGAGCACCAAGGCTGGCCAGGGGACTGAGCAGCTGGCTCAGACTGTTCCACGGGTGGAAGGCAGCACCAGGATCCCCCCTCCTGCGGGGAAGCTGAGGGAGGACCCTCTCAGGGACAGGAAGCAGGCTGCTGCTAGGGTCCAATGCAGGGAGAATCCATGTCACAGGGGTCCAGCCAAGCCCCAAATTAAAGAACTATTATTTTCCTCCCATGCCCCAGCAACCGTGCCCTGCATTGTTTCTCCTTCCTCTGAAAGAGTCCTCGATGCATTATTAATCTGGAAAGACTCCCTTTCCTCTGTCGCTAATCTCAGCCCATCCAAAATTGATGATTATTTGCTTTACTGTCTTTAACGTGTGTCATGTTTCAGGGACTGGGAGGCGGTAGCGGTTCTTAGCAGTGGGGGCTCTGAGTGTGCCTGCCGGGCTGCCCCCCGCCCCGGCTGGAGTCCTCGGAATCTGCATCACCACCTCCTCAAGGGGAGCTTTGTCACAAGGCTGGGCTCCTTGAGGGCACGGGCAGCCTGGCTTGTCCATCCCTGTAGCTTCCAGCCTCGGGGTTGCTTGGCACCCGGCACGGAGCAGGCCTTCAGTAAGGACAGTGCCTGAGTGCATCGTAAAGAGCCCAGCCCTCTAGGTGGTTCTGCCCATTAGCTGCTGTCTGCCCTGTTATTTTCTTTGTGAATATTTCACCCCTTGCTCTTGGCACACTGCCCCAGTGACTGAGCACTGACGTTCACAAAGTGTTTTGTTCCGTCTAGTTCAGGGTTTCTCAACCTTGCCACCATTAACAACTTGGGCTGCATAATCCTTTGTTAGGGACGGCTGTCCTGTGCATCGTAGAATTTTTAGCAGTATCCTTCGTCCCTACCCACCAGATGCCAGTAGCGCTGCCCCCTCCCCTCCCCAAGTTCTGACAACCAAAAATGTTTCCAAACATTGCCAGATGTCCCAGGGTGGGGTGGGGGAGGCGAAGTTGCATGAGGCTGAGAGCCTCTGGTCTAACTGAACTCGCATGCTGCACTTGACTTTGTTTTCGTGGACACAGAAAATAGCTGTCCTCCTGTGTGTGGGCACAGGTCAGCCCTTCTCTTCCTGGAACCTTTGTCCCGGGATAGATCCTTCTCTTGAGATTCAAGAAAAGCAAAGAAATGACTCTGTGACTTCTAATCTCAAGGCAGCCAAGTCATAGGTACGGGGTGGAGGTTGGGACCCCTGAGTCCTGGCCTCAGACCTACCTCAGTCTAAGCGAATGTCCTGATATATACACTTCTCTCCTCTATGCCTCAATTTCCCAATCCGCCCATCATCTTTCATCGACCCAGTAGGGGGGAAGTTCTCTTGTGGTCTTTGAAAGTGAAACTTCCACCCAACTCCCTGAGAGATGGCGTGTGGACCCCTAGAAGCCCAGCCTCTCTTCCCCCTGGCTTCTGCAGAGCTGGCAGCAAGGCCCCCACCATGACGGCTGGCAAGGTCTTAGGCATCTTTCCCCCGGGAGACAAAGTACTCCCAACCTCCAACCAAAGAAAGCCCTACCCACCGAGCCGTACCCGCCTAGCCCCATCCTCCCTGTTCCGTGCCCCTCTGGTGAGGCTGCTCCCCGGGTCGCATCCCAGCCCTGAGAAGGAAGCAGCGGCTAGCGAGATTCCCCACCATTGCACCCCCCTTACAACACTCCATCCCCTTTGTGTGTGTAGCACACACAGAGACCATCCTCCTTCATGAAGCGATAACCTTGAGAAAGAGCACCTGTGTGTCAGGCCTCTTAAATGTCCCCTCCACAATTGGATTGTCATAGACTAATTCCAGCAGCCAACAGATGCGGCATTGATAGAAATCACATAGCAGCCAAAAGAAAGGCAGAAAAATCCACTCCGAAAAGATTCCTGTATTTTTCAGCTTTCGGCTCCTATTAACTTGTGATTAATCTGAGTTTGGGGGAAATAGGAGAAAAGAAAAGACCAGAGAGAACGGAACCAGCCTAAACACCAGCGATCCAGACTTTTGCCTGAGCCTAAAAGGCAGTCCCTGGCCCACCGTGTGAGCCGAGGGAAAGGGGTCGCCCACAGGGAGGAAGGGATGCCCCGGAGAGGGGGACGTGCAGGTCCCTCTGCTGAGGGACAGAGGTTCCGAGCACGGTGATCGCTGTTCTCAGTCATAATCACTGTCAGCCATCATTCCCCACCCTCTTTTAAAGGGACTTTTGGAGTTTTTATAATATAAGTAATCAAATTAAGAAAATACATATCCCATGTTTGGAAATAGAATTATAAGCACATAAAAAGGAGAAAGAAAGGAATGATTTCAGATTTGGTTTTAAGCCTTCTGGTTCTCAGAGTAAAACGTAAAATTAGCACCTAGACACATCCCTAAGCAGCCAAAGCGCTGGCGACAGAGATCAGAAGTGGGAAACGCAGGGAGTTCTGAGAAGCCGGCGTTTGCTGGCCCGTGGTGTGCCCCGTGTGCTTTCCGCAGGGTGGTGCCCTTGCCAAAGCGGGAGCAGGTGACGGGTGGGCGTGACCATTTGCGAGGCAGAGACAGCGGAAGGATCTATTGATGGGAAGGCAGATATGTGCCTGAGACCTTTTAGAATCTCCAGGCCTGGGCAGCAGATTCCAGCCAGGTCATCTCTGGGCTCAAGCCTGTCGGTCTCTGCAACCGTGACTGAGCCGGTCTCTCTGCCTGAAAGTCAACCTCAGCGGAGGCTCCTGGAAAGCTGCAACCTAGAAAGGCAGTGCCCAAGGCTCTGCTGGAAATGTGGAGAGACAGTAGTGCCCCAAAACCGTCTGGCTGAGGGTCAGGGCCACCCATGCAGGTTGCCGTGTCCCCTTCCAGTGCTTGGGGCTCAGGCAGGAATTTTTCTTGAACTGTGAAGGTCAGAAAATCCTCAAATACTCATCCCTTACACCCATTCTTCTTTGTTACATATTTACAATTTTTATTGCTTTATATCTGTTTATAAATATAGTAGATGCTCAGTTTCAGAAGTTAGAGAATGCATTTATAAAGAAAAAAACTCAGAATCACTCGTAATTTCTCAACCAAGAGATAAAGGCAAAAGCTATTTTGTTGTGATTTGTTCATTCTTCATCCGTGTCTCTATCTGCATCACTTTCTTCATATTTTAGATGATGACTTTGTATACAATGTGCTTGTTTCACTTAACCTTATATCATGAAATATTTTGGAAAACAATTGAGTACGTCGCTAACATTCCTGCATATGGGTGGTCATAATTCATGTCACCAGTACACAGGGCAGTGGATAACTCATGGCCAGACAGACATGGGTTTGAATCCCAGCTCTACCTACCACTCACCGACTTAGCCGCGTGACCTTGGGCGAGTCTCACAACCTCCAAGTGCCATCTGTAAAATAGAGGCTCACACGCCTAATTCACAAGCTCATTTGAAGATTAGAAATATATGTGTAAAGTGCCTGGTGCTTTCATAGCCTGGCCACATATATTTATTATTATTTAAATTGCTTCCATTTTCCGCTGTTATAAATAATGGTTCGGGGAACATCTCCGTGCATAAATCTTTCTCCACAACTAAGATTATTTCCTTAGGATAGATTCTTAGAGATGGAATTATGAGACCGAAGAGCCTGAATATTTTTAGGTCTCCTGATACATAACCCCAAATTGTTTTGAAACCTTTATCAGCATTTTAAATATATTGTTCCTGTTTTGATAAAGAAGTGGTATCTGATCGTTGTTTAGACGTGATGATTGACGAGACTAAACGTACTAAACATTTTCCAAAGTGATTATTAGCTACTTGGTATTCAGCAATTGTCGGCTCTTGTCCACCTCCTCATCTTCTGTGAGAAAAGCAGGGTCCCTCGAAGAGAAACAGCTTGGCTGGGCTTCACACAATTAGTTTTCTCATTAATTAATTCGCCAAATATGTATTAAGCACCTCCAGTGTGCCAGGGACTCTGTTGGGCCCTGAGAGGGGAACAGGACAGAGGCTTCTCCCCCGTGGGCCTGCAGCCTAGAGGGGGAGACAGCTGGTAAACAAACTGACAGAAAATAATAAACAATCAATGGAAAATAATTATACTTAGTGAAAGCTATGTTCATTCCCAAATATTTAACTGGGCAATGAATATGAGCCAGACACCGGGGACCCACCAAGGATCCAGAGAGACAAAGCCCTGTCCCCATGGAACTTAGCAGAACCAAGGCTGTGCCAGGCTCCTCCTGCCAGCCCAGTGCCTGCTTCTCCTGTGTCGCTTGAGCCGGACTCCAGAGCAGGGAGGCAGGTGACACAGGGAATCTAAGAAGTGTGTCTCTACCATCCAGCACTTCTCCCGTGTGTTAGTCTGGTCCCTCCCAGAAGCAGACGGCAAGGGCAAGAGGTTTACTAGGGGACAGTCTTGGGGGGGAAATGGGGAGGGCGCTGGGGAGGCGGGGAGAGCCGCCAGACCACAGTGTAGGTCTGACCCGTGCAAGGGAGAGGGAAGGAAGGGAAGCTGGGTGGAAGAGTCTCAGCCTGTACACAGCACAGTTCTGAGAAAGTTTGGCAAGATGGGGAGTCTTAAAGCCAAGGTGCTCACCAGAGGAGCCCCAGATCTCCCAGGAGTGTGCCCACCTTGGTATCGCTGCTGTGCTCCAGCTGGGAGCACCCGTGGGAAATGTGGCCTCTGGATTGCAGACACAGCGGCGCTGGCTGTCAGCCAGTTGTGCCCCCCCAGGAGCTCTGAGCAGCACGTGGTCACCGCATCCAGCATCCCCCGATCATGAGTGGACACTGGCTGTTGATCAGACAGCTGCCTGCCAGAGGTTGCCCCACTCTCTAGAGGTCATGCCAGGGAGCCCCTGCCTCTAGCCAAATGGTCCTTTTTCTGGCCTAGATAGACAGGGGATGGAGAAGAGCTCACATGCTATTAATGAGCCCTGGCAGGTCAGGTACAGTGGCTCATGCCTATAACCCTAGCACTTTGGGAGGCTGAGGCGGGAGGATTGCTTGAGGCCAGGAGTTTGAGACTAGCCTGAGCAACATAGTGAGACTCCATCTCTACAAAAACATTTTTAAAAAATTAACTGGGCATGGTGGTGCATGCCTGTAGTCCCAGCTACTCAGGAGGTTGAGGCAGGAGGATCGCTTGAGCCCAGTGAGCTATGATCATGCTACGGCACTCCAGCCTAGGCAATAGAGCAAGACCACATCTCTAAAAAAAAAATTTAAAAATGAGCCCCAGCAAAGCATAGGGTGGGGGAATCATCTCCAGGGCAGACAATACCAGAGAGGGGCAGCCACATCTGTCCCAAAGTCTTATTTTAACTCAGCCAACATTCATTGAGCTCCTACAATATGGAGAGCTGCTGGGTGTCATTGCTACCTTCTCGGTCCTGTCCCCACACTTTGGACAGCATAGTACATAAGGCAAGGGACTAAAGAAGCCCCCTGTGCTTTGGTCTCTGTATCTATATTATAAAGAATGCTTGTTTGGGAGTCAGACCTGTGTTCTAATCTTGATCTTGCCACCTCCTTGCTGTGTGACTTTAGACAAGTTACGTAACCACCATGAGCCTCAGTTGTTGGGTGCTGATTGAGACCATGTGGCCTTGGCATCATCTGATAAGCAAGACATTGAGCAGTTTAACCTCAGAGGCTCTGATCCTGCTACCCTGGGCAGATGAGACTTGGGGTGGGCTGAGGGTGGGACATGGCTGCATCTCAGACTGGACTATCTTCTCACCCGTCTCTTGTCTGCTCAGCTGCCACCCAGTCACCGGAGCTTGCACCTGCCAGCCGGGCTGGTCTGGCCACCACTGCAACGAATCCTGCCCTGCTGGCTACTACGGCGATGGCTGCCAGCTGCCCTGCTCCTGTCAGAACGGCGCCGACTGCCACAGCATCACCGGGGGCTGCACTTGTGCCCCAGGCTTCATGGTAAGATGGGAGGGGCCTCCCATGGCCTTCCTGATTCCCGCCCGGCCAGCTCCCGGCTCCCAGTGCCATCAGGGGTAGGTATGGCCAGCACCCTGCGTAAAGAGTGGGAGTGCCTCTGGTGTCCCTCCCAGAGGTAGAGTCCGTGACCAGAGAGCCCTGAGGCTGTTCTCGAAGGGCTGGGGCTTGTCCTTGTAAAGGTGATAGCAGGAGGGGTCCTTCCGTCATCCTTCAGCTCGGAAACACTGGCTGTCTTCCCTATCCTTATGCACGCAACGTTTTTCTATCATAATAACCACGGTGCGTATATACAGTGTGGCATTCTGCTTTCTTTCACCCGCGTTTCTATGTTGCTGCTTGGGCTTCGTGATTATCATTTTAAATGGCTGCGTAACTCTGCGGGAGCGGAGGTGCCCCCAGTTTGCTCGGCCATTCTCTTATGCTGAATATTAAGTTGTTTCCAGTGTTTGCAGCGAATGTTGCGACGAGCATCTTCATACAAATAGCTTCCCCCTCCTACTGAATTACTTCCTTAGGGTGAATTCCCAGGGTCGGTGGGCATAACACATTTATGGCTTTTGATGGATGTTGCCATATTACTTTCCTCGAGGGTTATATAAATCTACACTGCCACCAGTCGGGTGTGAATGCACCTATTTCAGAGTAACTTCGCTAACCTTTTTTTTTAATTTTTGCTAATTATATAGGGAGAAAATGGCTCCTGAATGTCGCTCTAATTTGCATTTCTCTGATTACTGAGGGGAGTGAACATTTGCCCTGCACGTTTGTTCACTATTTGTATTTTCTCATGAATTATGCTGGTCGTTATGAGGTTTGATTCTGGGGAATTCGACATTGGAAATGGAATCCTGTTCAAAGGCGGGGCATGCCCCGTGGGTGTGAGGACCCAAACATTTAGGGGTTCCCCCTGGCCCTAGTTTCTGTTGTGCTGTAGGAAGTGGTTTGTGCAGTTGAAAGAGTGTGGCCTTTGGAACGAGACCTGGGTCACATCCTAAACTATCCTCTTCACCTAATGTGTGACCTTGGACCAGTGGCTTAACCTCTCTTAGATTCTGTTTCCTGACCTGTGAAATGGAACACCTGGCTGTCAGGTGTAGAAATGGAATCTGTAGAGCACGTCGTAGCAGCGCTTCTCAGATGACAGTGAATTTGCCAATCTCCTGTGGCCCTTGTTAAATTGCAGGTTCTGATTCGGTAGGTCCAGGATGGGGCTTGAGGGTCTGCATTGCTAACAAGCTCCCAGGTGACACCAGTGCTGCTGGCCAGTAGTCCTCATTTTGAGTAGGAAGGTGATACGCAGCCATGGTTCTCAACTTGGGATGCACATTGCAATTGCCTGCAAAGCGTCACAGACAGTGGTGCCTGGGCCCCACTCCCAGCGAGTCTAACGGATTTGGTCTAGGTGTGGTCCGGTGAAGGCCAAGGTGCTGTCAAAGTGGAGATCCAGTGATCTACAAGGAAGCCCTTGTCATAATGGGCGTGAGGGTTTGCCTGGTGACAGTGTCGTTTAAGGGCAGGTTGCCCTGTCCAGAGCAGGGCTCAGGACAAAACACTGTTCAGCTCCCTCTTCCTCCTCCCCAGTGCAGACAAAATGGGGTGAAAATGAACTCTTTGGCATCTTTGAAAGGGAAGAAAGTCTGCTTCTCTCAGAGGTTTCCTCTCTAATTTACCTTTGTTGGTGTGAGTTTTTGTCTATAACTTCTACAGAAGAATGGAAACGCCCTAGGTTTTGAGTTTGGGTAGGAGAGAATAGTTGGGAGTAAAAATCTCACATAGCCAAGTGACCAGGTGACCGAAGCTGACTGCACCAGACAGCTCGTGGGTGTCCTGACCCTAGTCCCAGCCTGGCTACTAGGGTGGTTCTGTGACTTTGGGCATCTGTGGGTGGGGAGCACACGGGGCGGAGAGGAGCCCACTGGTTTCTAAGATGGTCCACTGTGTGGACTCCAGGGGCCGGGTCAGGAAACACACCCTTCTGGGGGAAATGAGGGACAGTAGGAGCAAGAAGGCGTGTGCACACGTGGGAGGGGGCTCGTGGAGGGTCATCTAGAGGCTGGCTAAGAGTCTCTCCTCCCTGCTTCTCCTCCTTCACCCCAGTGTCTGCCTAGTCACTGCTCCTCAGAAAAAGGGAAAATCAGGGCCAGGGCAGGCTGGTGTCTGTTTGCACACCCCTCCCTCCCCCACC